CCTGGATCAGTTCAGCCCCTTGCCTTTGTCTTCGGAGCAGGATGTATCGCCCTCCTCAGAGGAGGGCTTGGTGCCAATGGACGGCCGGACGGGTGCACTGCAACTGTTGACTGAGTCTGGAGGAGACGTCACAAATTTCACCACCATCGTCGTTCAGGAAGGGGTAATTCCCAGTGAAGCACCGTACGTGTGTCCTGATAGTGGTAGGAGCTTCTTGTAGGAGGAACAATGCGCCTTGTACCAGCAATCCCATCTCCAAGTCTCTCCTGACCACAGGGACACTCCCGCACAACATCCCTAGCCAGAAGTCAGGGCATATACCTGTGGATTGCGGGCGCTGGTTCCCCCACCAGGCCAGCCTGAGCAAACACTGCCTCTGGCACATGGGTGATCAGCCGCACACTTGCACCGAGTGCAAGAAGACTTTCCAGCTGAAGATCAACCTGCACCTTCACGAGCGTACTCACACGGTTGCCAAAAAACCCGTCTGCTACATCTGTGGCCAGTGCAGCCGGACGTTCAACCACCACTCACATTTCTTACGGCACCAGATGATCCACACCAGGGAGCGGCCATACACCTGCGGGGAGTGTGGGAAGACGTTCATCCGTAAGAAGCATCTTGCCACCCACGGGCGGCTCTACACGGGCAAGCGGCCCTACCAGTGCCCGCTCTGCCTGAAGAGCTTCACCCGCAAGCAGCATTTGGTGGGACACCAGTGCCTGCATGAGGGGGAGGCAATCTGGCTGGAGGAACACCCCACTCGGATGAACGGGCATGGCCAACGGGGTCAAATCGGGGTCCGAGCAGACGATGTTGAACCTGGACTTGGACAAGAGACGTATCCCCCATAAACCGTTCAGCAGAACCCGAGGGAGAACCAGATGAGAGGGTGGCGGCCAGGGAGTAGAGTTTAGGCAGCCATCTTGAACCAAGCACAAGACTGTAATTAGTCACATCCTTGATCCCCAGAACTGGAGACAGAAGGCCAGATCTGGGGCTTAAGACCCATGGAGTGGGAAGGGACCTTAGAGGTCTTCTAGTCCAACCCCCTGCTCAAGCAGGAGACCCTATCCCATTCTGGACCAATCTCTTCTTACGTAACCAATTCCTTGAGCTTTGCTGAGACCAAGGTGCGGAGTGGGTCAAAAAAGTCAAAATGGCCACCAGCCTGATCCTGATTTTTAGCTGCTTTATTCCTCGTGCCTAAACCAGTCGAGTCCTCATCGTACGACCACAATCTAGCTCAACCTCTCCGTAGCTAAGCCAAATACTTGTTCAGTGAGCTGTGCCTATTTTAGCACTGTCGTTAAGCAAATCCCTGCAGCCCTTAATACGGTTGTTCAGTGAATTGGGCTTCCCCATTGACTTTTGCTGGTCGGAAGTGACCATCATAAAAATGAGTCAGTTGTCTGAATTTTGATTACGTCAACGCAGGGATGCCACAATGGTCATTAAGCGTGTCCCCAGGACGCTGCAACCTGTCATAAAAGATGAGTCAGCTGTCAAAATATCTGAATTTTGATTACATCAACGCGGGATGCTACAACAGTCGTAAGTGTGCAAAACTGGTCCAAAGACAGTCTTTTTTTCAGGGCCGTTGACATTTTAAACGGTCACGAAATCATCCTTGTGTAAAGACCCCCATAATCCCTTGAGGGGTGGAGTCTGGGCAGCTGAATGGAGCTAGCAGAGTCTTTACTGGCCGGATGCCCTTCCTGTTGCCAATGCGGAGTTTTTGTTTGGCAGATATATTCTCAATGTGCCCAGAGAGAGAAATATCTGCTTCTATCTAGGATCAAACTCACAGCCTCCTGATGGTGAGGCGAGAGGTTCCACCTCTAGGCCATCGCACCACTCTTGGAACGGTCACTAAATGAACTGTTGTAAATCAAGGCCTGCCTGCATTGTCATTGTGTATTGTACATGTAATTGTACATTGCTCAGACTGTTTCTATGAGGGAGATGTGCAGTTCCTAATTATGTGATGAAATAAAGGAAATAAAATTCAATCGAACCGATAAATCAGATTATATGTTACAAATATTATTATAAACAATCCTTCTGCAAAGCTGAATTGCTGCTTTTTAATTAATCAAGGGTGTTGAGATGGACAAAGTTGCAGGTCAATTCACACAATTGGGGGTGGGATTCTACCGGTTCAGCCCGGTTCGAGGGAACCGGTAGCTCCGAAGATCAGCTGTTTTTACACATAGGGCTTGCAGCAGAAAGTGAGTTGCAAACGTTGTGCGTGTGCACGCACCAAACTGGTTGTTACACTGGTTGAATCCCACCCCTGCACGCTCCCCATATTTTATCCTGCAATGTGTTGGTAAGAAGCTGACAGGAAAAATATTTTGGGCTTTTGATATACTGGCGAAAAATCCAGAAAACAAATTAAGGTATCATTGAAGAATAAAATCCAAGGAACGTGTGGCTAAAATTATTCGGACACATGATGTGAAGACCCAACTTACAGACACAATTGGGCCTTTGATTTCTGTGGCTCAACAAGACAGGTGTTCAATGAGTTTGGCCCCCTTGGGCGACCTTCCTCTTCACCATCGTTAAGTGAATCACCAAAGTCGTTCAGTTAGGGACACGATTGGGAAGCGAATCTGGCTTCCCTGTTGGCTCTTTGCTCGTCGGAGGGTCGCAAAAGGGGGATCGGGTGCCCCACTCCAGTGACGCTGCGACCATCGTAAACGCAAGCCCATGGCGAAGAGTCTGAATTTGGATGACATGACTTCGGTTGTCAGTGTGAAACATGGTCGTAAGTCGTTTTGGGGCTGTCATAACTTTGAACGGTCGCTAAACGAGCGGTTGTAAGTCTGTAAGGACTGCCTGTAGGTACTGAAGGATTTTGCAGGATGCAAAAGGGGGTAACTCAGAGGTAGGAAAGGCGGGTACACAGCAGAAGTGGTCTGCTGCCAGTTCCGACTGGTTTGCCCGAACCGGTTGTTCCAACCACCAGCTGGGCCCGCCCGCTCGCCCCAGTGCTGTCCCGTCCTATATATCTCATTCTCTGGCTTGTTCACCCCACCCACGCAGCCCAGCTGATTTCTGCCCCTCACCTGCTCTCACCGTGGCTGCCCAAGGTGGTGTGCTGGAAGCCGCGCGCTCACATTTTCGGTTCTGCACTGGGCAAACCGGTTGTTAAATTATGTGAAGCCCACCTCTGGTTACCCATTAATTGCAGGAAAATTAGGTTCTCCCCAGACCTCCCCTTCTGCAATTTCCCCTCCATTCGATGGTGGCGCTGTAGCCAGTGGCTGGAAGGGGTCCTTCTTTCTTGCTGCACCACAGTCCTCCCCCAAGAGGACAGCTTTTGGTGTAACCACATCGAGGCTTCTGGCTCCGGCTCTCCATCTACGATGAGAAGAGGGGTGTGGCTTGCAAGAGGGGTTTGGAGATCAGCTCTACCAGAATTGGGATGGGGGTTTGTTCCCCTCCCCGCGCTCACCCACTTCATATATTTAATACTTATTTAGTAGCGATTTAATATTTATTTAGTAAAAAACATTATTAAATTTAATCAAAGATTAAATAGAATTTAAATATAATTAAATCATTTAATATATTCATAGCATTTATAATATTTAATTTAATACATGAATATTACTATTCATTAAATTGTTAAATATTATTTAATTAGCACTATCCATGTATTATTAAATAAAATTATTAAATATTTAATACTTTAATAATCCATGAACAGTAATACTAATTAAATAATATTGAACCATTTAATTTAATACACAAATAGTACTGTAACACTCTTTGTGTGTTAAATTATCAAATATGCAGGATATTCATTTATGATTAATAAATACACCTAATATTCAATAATTTAATTCTAGAATTGTTATGAGTGATTAATATGCACAATAATTTAATGAATCAAATGAATATTAATCATAAATGAATATGCCTAGTATTTAATATTAACCATACATGAACAACGCATGCATTCGTATTTAAGAACAATTAAAGAATCAAGTTAAATTATATCATTCAGTTATGTAAATTATCAGCAATCATTAAGTCGAATTATAAATTCATCCTATTATTTATTATGAAATTGAACTGTTATTAGATCTGGGTAGTAGTCAAATTGGTTTGATGTTGATTTGATATTTTGTCAGCCTTGTTTAATTTTTTTTATTCAGTTCAATTTCTGTCACACATGGTTCGCACTGGGGACTATGACCGATATCAATCCATCCATCCAATCAATCAATGATTCTATGAGCAGGGGTTTGGACTAGAAGACCGTCAAGGTCCCTTCTTGACTTTCTGTAAGGGTCTCTCCTGCTCGAGCAGGGGGTTGGACTAGATGACCTCTAAGGTCCCTTCCAACGCGGTGATTCTCTGACTGTATTTCTACAGCCGGCCGGCTCTCTTTTGGCCGGCTTCCCCTGGGCGAAGAACACAAAACCAACACGGGCCGTCTAAAATTAAAACATATACTGACGCCGCGTAGGGGGAAACCGCACGTAAAGGGCGGAGCGTAATCCACGCTCAACTCTACAGCGCCGGCCGGGGTTTTGACGCAGCGGCGGGGCCCGTTCTGCGCAGGCGCGGCCGGCCGAGGCAAAAAAAAAAAAAAAAAAAGCTATCCGGCGGGGGCCAGGCCCCCCCGACGATTTCTCCTCCTTCCCTCCACCTCCCTGCGTCCCACTCCCGCCTCCTCACCCAGCTGAGCCTCGTTGTGCGGCGCTGCGCCCCGTCGCGCGCGGGGGTGGGGGGGGTGGGCAACAAAGGACCATGGAGGGGGGGGGGCCGGCCCGGGGGGGGGGGGGGGGGGGGGGGGGGGGGGGGGGGGGGGTAAGAAAGGGAAGGGGGGAAGGGGGGGAGAAGAAAATCCCCCTCCTTTCGGGCGCCCCCCTCCCCCTAGAAGGCCCGTCTGACAACGGAGCGCGGGGGAGGGGGCGGTAGATGGAAGAGCCACGGGGAGAGAGAGAGAGAGAGAGAGAGAGAACAATCGAGGGGGGGGGGAGATGTACCGGGAAGAGTGCCTGCGGGCGGGGCTGGCAGGCGAGAGGGAGGTAAGAGCGGCAAAGGGCTCAAAGCTGGACTGCTGCTTATTTTTTTGTCCTGACAGGAAACTGGGAGACTGGGGGGGGGGGCCTTCGGCTGAGAACCCCCCACCCCTAAATATAACGGGGGGGGGGAAGGGTCCTTGGGCCAGGGTTGGACCCCTCTTTTTGAAGCCCCCCCCTCCCAAGGCCTAGGACACTTTTATGGGGCTTGGCTTGGAGACTGGACTGTCGCCCTCCCACCCACCCCCAAAAGGGGGGGAGTCCTTGGGCAGTCTCTGGAACAGGGTTTGACAGCTCCCCGCTCTTTGAAGCCGACCCCCCCCTTCCAAGCTGGACTGCTGCCTGCCGCCCTTCTATGGGGTTTGGCTTGGAGACTGGACTGTCCCTTCCAACTTTGTCATTCTGTTCCGGGTCTGTTTTGTTCTGTTCTAGTTTATTCTATTCCTATTTCTATTCCGTTCTAATGTTTCAAATTCTAACTATTATTCTATTGCTACTGCTTTTCTGTTCTGTTATCTATTCTATTCTAATCATAGTCTGTTTTGTATTCCGTTCTGTTCGAATTTGATTCTAGTCTGTATTCTACTCTATTTGTATTTCTGTTCTGTTCTGTTCTATTTTATTCTATTTCTATACTGTTTTGTTGTATTCTATTCTGTTCTTTCTTTCTATTTCTATTCTGTTCTGTTCTCTATTCTAATCATACTCTGTTCTGTATTCCGTTCTGTTCAAATTCTATTCTATTCTGTTCTTCTGTTCTGTATTCGACTCAATTTGTATTTCTGTTCTTTCTAGTTTATTCTATTTCTATTCTGTTCTGTTGTATTCTTTCTATTCTCTATTCTAATCATATTCTGTTCTGTATTCTGTTCTAATTCTGTTCTATTTTCTACTCTATTCTGTTCTGTTCTATATCTATTTCATTCTATTTCTGTTCTGTTCTGTTGTATTCTATTCTCTATTCCAGTGGTCGCCAACCGGTGGGCCACGGCCCACTGGTGGTCCATGAGAAAATTTTGGTGGTCCGCAGAGAAATGTCACCCCCAGAGCACCCCCCCAAAGAATCCAGGCTGCGCAGGAACACAAGGCTGCACCACCCACATGGCCTGTGGGAACCCTCCCCGCTCACTCACTCCTTACCTGGCAAACTTGCCTGCTAAGTTGCTATTTTCCCTTTTTTGTCCCCGACCATCAGCTGTTCTGCTGTGCTGGGGGATTTAGATTAGCTAGAAAGCAGGAAATCGTTGGATTTCTTGCTTTCTAGCTAATCTTTACATCTTTCTTAAGACTGAAGCTTCTATAATTCAGTGCAGGTAGCCGAGGGCAGAAAGATAGATCTCTGAATGAATCTGTGATTCTGTGAGCAACTCAATCTGCCTGCCTGCTTTGCCTGATTTGGGGTAAAACGTGCTCTCTTTTTTATAAAAAATTCAATATTTACATAAATATTTATAATATTTACATACAACCCATGCCCAGCCAGTCACATGACCACCAAGCCACACCCACTAATTGGGCCATGCCCAAGAACCTGTTGTTAAGAAATTTGAATCCCACCCCTGACTCTGAGTGTTTGTTTGTGTGTGTTAGAGGGAGGAAGGGAGGGAGAGGTTAGATCAGATCTCTCCCACCAATGTCAGCAAGCCACTGCCAGTCAAAATTCATATTAGTGGTACCAGGGATTTAAAATTATGAGTTTGGTGGTCCCTGAGGTCCAAAAGGTTGGCAACGCCTGCTCTATTCTAATGTTCTGTTCTGTATTATGTTCTAAATCTATTATATTCTGTATTCTATTTCTATTCTGTTTCTATTTCTATTCTGTTCTGTTCCATTCTTTCTATTCTCTATTCTATTCTAATCATATTCTATTCTATATTCTGTTCTGCTCTGTCCTTGAGTTGAGCCCCAACTTTATGTTGCAAAGTGAAACATTTGTTTAAAGGAGTTTGTCCTGGTTTACGATTTTTCATGCCACGGTTGTTAACTGACTCGTTCCCTGTGTTGTTAGTCACACAGTTGTTAAGTAAATCTGACTTCGCTCCTCAGAAAGTCGCACAAGGGAAATCATGTCGTAAATACGAGTCCGTTGCCCAGTATCTGGATTTTGAGCCTGTCACCGGGAGAGAAGAGAAGGAAGGAGAAAAGGAAGGAAGGAAAAGAAAGGGAGAAAGGGAAAGGGAAGGGAAGAAAGGAAAAATGGAAGTAATGAATGTATGAAGGGAGGGAGGGAGGGAGGAAGGAGGAAAGGAAAGGAGGAAAGAAAAAGGGAAGGGAGTGTGGAAGGAGGGAAGAACGAAGGAAAAAATAGGGAGGAAGGAAAAGAGGGAGGGAAGAAGGAAGGAGGGAGGGAAGGAAGGAAAAGGGAGTAGGGAGGAAGGAAAAGAGGGAAGAGAATGGGAGGGAAGAAGGAAGTATTGAATTCATGAATGACGGAAGGAAGGTAGGAAAGGAAAGAATGGAAGAAAGTAATGGAGAAAGGAAGGAAGGAAGGAAAAGAGAGAAGAAGGAAGGAAGGAATGATGGAAGGAAGGAAGGAATGACAGAAGGAAGGAAGGAAAAGAGGGAAAAAAGGAAGGAAGGAAAGAATAAAGGAGGCCACATTTCAACTCCCATCATGGAAACCTATGTGTGTCCCCCCCC